CTCTCTTGGACCCTCGACATATCTGAGAAGCGTACAAAGATCAATGATATGAATAAATAGAAGTCAAGCCAAATTCAAGGCAACTCCAACATACATTTTGTAGAAATTGAATGATTAATCAATTACATCATTTTGATTTTTTTTTTGGCAAACAAATCATCCATACTTCAACCTAATTTTGTTTAAGAATAATTTTCATTATATAAGATGTTGATGATATTTTATAAATGTATTATGTATTCAAGTACAAAGAATCATTAGTCACTAAAATGATTTCTACTCGTTTACTTATAAGTTTGTCCCCCCCCCTCGCGAAAATTAAGGCTGGTTCCGCCCCTAGGTGTACCAAATTTAAATGCTTGAATTTAGAAAAATCTACAAACACATAAATTTTTATCTATTTTTATAAGATGTATATATTTTATTCATATATGCATTTTTTTTCTTGTTAAAAATTGTACGATCATTTCTGTTGTTGTAGATGAAATGGCCTTGATGGGAGCACAAGGAGAGCCACATAATCAGGGCAAGGTCATTAAGGATATCCCTCCTCTAGCTTCTACAAATTTGTGTGTTGACGCAACGCGAAGGACTCATCATGCAACACATCCAGATGACGTAAGGGTAGTATACATTTATTTCATATTTAGTAATTAATTAATCAATGCATACAAATGTTATATATATGTCATTTGATTTTTCTAAAATTAGAGTTATTGTTTTTTGCATAGGATATAATATTGGAGGTGGCAAGCTACTTTTTGATGGTTTGTGAGTGGTCAGTTCAATGTCCTTGATTTATTGTGGCCCTCCATATTATAGGTGTAGGTTATCTTAGACACCTACGATACATAAGACTTGACTAGCATCTACTTATAGACTTGGTCGAGCGTTCGTCCCTTGAGACATGCACGTTTCATCTGTCTGTGGTTGAAATGACTGTGACTCTCCAATATATTGTGATGATCCTTGGGGTACGCATTGATGGCTTCCCATTAGTTGGACAACCTATAGTTGGATATGTAGGCGATGACTAACCTGCCTGATCAAATATTTCATTTATTGTAATCCATATGAGCTAACAATGAAAGCTAAGTTCAAGACGGGGCAAGCTAGTGCCAAAACTTATCTCCCATTGTGTTGTTTAAAATGTCTCTTCTCTAGGTGTTGTTATGAGGATCTTAAGGACCATGAGTTATCTAGGCATGTTAGAGTGTACATCCTTTTCCTAATTAGATGCTTCCTCATACCAGACACATCTTGGTGTGAAGTGCACCTCCAATGGTTGCTAGAGTGGAGAAAATCCAAAGCTTTTCTCAGTTTTCACTTGGAGGTGCCATCCTTGCACATCTTTATAGGGAGCTTTGTGAAGCCACTCATCCAAGCCAAAAAACTATTGCTTGCTGTCTTTACTTATTATAGGTTTGGACTTTGGAGCACTTCCATGTGGGACGATCAACCATGCATGTTTAGGAGATGAATGGGAAAAGCCATTAGGCTATAGGTAATATGTTAATTATGGGCCTAAGTGAATTTTTACAAAAGAAAAAGGAATTTAAGTGTACATCTTTTATTAAATGCTTAGATGGAATGAGAGTTGGGTTCGAGAGATACCGAATAATCTGTATTTTTTTACCGCAATGAATTAGATGGTCTCCAACATAGCCATGTAAACTTATATTTGTTTATTGTCATACGTTGGATGCCTTAAACAAGTACAAATTAAATTCACTACAGGAAAAATAGCAATTTCCGAGTAATTTTCTGGTAGAAATTGCTCGTAGGAATCGGAAGGGGCGTCAGTATTTCATGTTGAAATTTTCGGTAGACGTTCTAGTGGACATTTTCGCATGAAAGTTTCAGCGGGAATTTCCGTCGGAAATTTAGTTGGTTTTAAATATTATGGCGGAAATGTTCGCCAAAAATTTTTGTCGGTGAAAGCCAATTCATGTCAAATAGCCTTCCAAAGCTATTTTCACGTGAAACGGAGCAACAACCTGCCCCTCAAGACCAATCGTTGCCATTCGCCATTCTTGATCAGATGATTGGACTGTTCGTGCATGAACACATTCCTCATTGAAGTCCATTCCTCTGCCGATCATTCCTCGCCTATTGTAAGCCTTTTAGTTTGCCTCCTCAAAGTCTTCCTACTTTAGAAATAAGCAAAATCATGTAAGTTTTTGCATACCTCAAAAGTATCTTAGCATGCAAAGTACTTCCCCACCCACTACTCTTAGTTAGATTGTACACAATGAAAGATAATTCTAACTGTAGATAAAGCTTGCAAAATGGGCATCAACCCATCCTAATTCTCTTCATAGGATTATGCAAAGGTCTTCATGATTAGTATTAAGACACTTGGCTTCATGTAATGGTTATTTATTAAATGCTACTCATGCCCACCCAAAAAAACTCTCATAGAATCGAAGTCTTAGACTATAACAATTATATAAAAAAAAATAATGATCAAAATAATCATGTATATTTCTATGGTGTGGACCGCTTAATTCAATAAAGCACATGGCCATTTAATTCATCATACCTCAATATGTTAGATTTTGAATAATTCCACTTAGAAGTCTAGGAGCTACTAGGTTAAGCTCTAAAACTACTCATCCAAAATAGAGTCATCTTGACAAATCACATGTAAGTCTTTGCATATCTCGATTGGACGGATTGGCCTCTCCGTGCGCATTCCTCATTTAAGTCCATTCCTCTGTTGATCGTTGCTCCAAAACTTCATCCAAAATAGTCATCTTTATTGACACTTTCTTTTATATCTAAGGTATATTCTTTTCATGCTCGAGTCACCTCAAGGTTTGATGCACAATGTTTTTGTGTCTTGCTTACCGAAGCCATTATTGATGTTCGACCGTAATTGGAACCCAATGTTTGTGTGTACAACGTTATATATCACATCTGATATGAATATATTTAAAATCAAAGAAATTGGGTGTATAATCAACTGTTGCTTGGATACAAGACATTAACATTTAAATTCATCAACAGAGTAAATTTTTTCATCAAGGCAGCCTATTAACTACTCTCCATGTTAGATAGGAGGTTTTATTGTCATTATTCAAAACAAAAAACAATTCAAGTGTACCTCACACTAGATGAGATTATTGTTGATTTATATCGCAGTGTATTCATACCAGAATATTGGTTTTCGACATCACATTGTAAGTACAATCACATTGAAAGAAAAAGCCATATTTCAACTCTCAATACGGTTTGTAAATAAGTTCCAACATAGTTGAGGAAGAAAATATTAAGACATATAAAGTTTGATTTATAATGCAATTGGGCCACAGTTTCGACAATATACGAACGAGTCACCAAATACGGAAGCATAAAATTTCTATGATTTATTATGTGCTACGCAACAATCAATTTA